ATTCTTTTAAGAACTATCACTAAAAGGTTCGTTGGAGAAGCACAGGAGAGTTTTTAATTTCATCATTTCATTTCATCAATGCTTTAACAGTGCAACATGTTTTAAAGGTGCAATTAATTAAATAGTGAAAGATCATATAAAGCATGGGGTGATCTTATCCTTCTTTCTCCTTCTCTTTTTGTATGCAGTATTTTTATGCAGTACTTGGTAACACTTTACTTGAAGGGGTGTGCATAAGACTGACATGGCACCTTCATAATCATGACATGACACATGTCATGAATATGAAGGAGGTTTTATGCATGTTTATGACAACTGTCATTAAGTGTCATTCGCTCAGTTATGTCATTTTTAATGCAAATATGACATTATTTGACCTAACCCTAACCTACCCCTACCCCTACCCTTACCCCTAACCATAGCCCATAACAAAGACATCTCAAACAATGTCATCTTTGCATTAAAAATTACATAACTGAGCAAATGACACTTAATGACAGTTGTCATAAACATGCATAAAAAAACCTTCATATTCATGACATGTGTCATGTCATGATTATGTAGGTGTCATGTCATGATTATGAAGGTGTCATGTCAGTCTTATGCACACCCCTTCAAGTAAAGTGTAACCCAGTACTTTTTATGGATCACAGCATTTATGTTTATCGTTTCATTTCATGGGATATCTTAAGAAACGTATGAAATGAAGGCAGCTGTTGTTGAACCTTGTCATTTGAAATGACAAGAATGTGCTCTTGGTTGTTACTAATGAGTTGTGGTTGAAACATTTGATTGCTTCTGACACATTTGAGAAAATCAAACAAATATGATTACTGCCATTAGTAACTAATACAGGAATAAATATATGTTAAACACACACATCAATTAGTGTGTTTTGAACAAATTGTTTCTGTTCAGTGCACTCTGAGTTAATTCCCAGGATGATGAGAACACATTCATTTGTTGGTGCTTCAGAGCAAATCCACTCAATTTAAAAGAGGGTTTCAGCATCTTTAAAGTCTCAGCACTGTCAATTTAAATGATTTTTTGTTAATTACTTTAACGAAATTTAGTTTAGCTCATTATTATGTGTTGCGTTTGTCTCGACAGTCAACTCTTCAAATGAAAGTTTGTTGGCTTGAAGCTAAACATGCCCTGAATCTTTTCAACTTTAGGTTTTTGACTAAAATCTAGCGTAGCGCTAGTTCTGGCAGGTCACGTTAGTCAAGCTCGCATCAGCTGACTCTCAGCTGATCCCCATCAACCTATGGGAATATGCAACGTGGTCTCATGATAATTCGTATGTATTTTACGTAACATGTGGTTCTATAAAACATACATTTACTTACGTTTTTACAGGCACTAAGACGTACAATACTGACGTATTTTCAGCATCTAAACGTACAAATACTTACGTATTTTCAGCATTTAAACATACAAAATTGACGTATTGACGACACCTAAAAATGGATCCTTATGAATATTGAAATCGCGGCATTAATTTTATTAGTTTTTAGTTGTCATATGAATTAGCTTGTTTTCAATTGCATTACTAAATAGTTTACTTATGAAATGGTAACATTTCGTTTTGTTGTGATTTCTGCTGCCAGCTGTTTCCAAGAATAGGCCTACATAATGTTAAAACAAGACTTCACTTTAAACCTTAAAATAAATAACATTTCTACAATCGTTTAACCTTTACTTGTCATATGATGTTTACTTTGATTGCTATAGGCCACAAAAGGCGTTTTTTCCCAACATGCTGTGACTAACAATTTGAATCAGACTAATTCTAAAATGTGTACATAACATTATTGAACTTGAACGATATCTGCAATACATTTATGTTGGTTCTGTTCTGTTTACCCTGGGGGGGTTATCGCTGCTCTCCTTGCTCTCATCCATGCTAGGCTGCATGGATGCGCAGGGAGTTCTTGCCCAGAACGGAACCATACCGCCAATCCAAACTGTATGCTAATTGTCAATCATCTTTGACATCTAGTGGTCCTGACAGAACTGTTACTCTGCTCTAAACTGAAGTGTGTGGCATCTAGTTACTGACCCTCAATGTGAGATTGTCTGTTTCAATTTGATTGCACTCTCACTGCACTCAGTACACTCTGTTGTACTTGTCCCGAGTACTACCAATACATTTCAAGTAGATTCCTAATATACACGGTCTGCTTTTCAGATACTCTTAAAGTAACCTACTCTTCTGTAGCACTTACATTTCAAGGACTCTCCAGTACATTATACCAAACAATACTGAACACTAACAATTCAATTTCAAGTACCTTTCCTGGCCTTAAACACTGGCTTGCACTCAGTTTCATCTGGATCACTTCCATTAACTGCATTCATATTATAGACTGGGTACACTCCTAGGCAGAAGTTGTTACATTAAAAACAAGATTTTGTCCAGAATATTAATGTAAAAATGAACACACATTCAGATCGATTGCAAACAGATATTCCCATTCTTTGAATGATCAGAAGGGGTGCATGGGGTGAAGGTCAGTAGTCCTAGAGATAATGGATCAGGAATTAAAAGTTGAGTTATGTTTATCAGCCGCTTGATGGCTCTAGTGTTGCACCATTGAGAAGAGATTTAGGGCCAGATATATTGAATCAAAAATTAAAATTATGCCGCTTCAAGGAGACACTAAATGAACGTAGCATGTAAAATACCCAAGAGAAATACACTTTATCTTACCGTTTCATAGCCATCAAAATTACTTTGGCTGTATTCAGTCTCTTATATTATTACATGATTGTGTGATGATGTGGTTATTTTCTTACCATATGTTCTCATGTTATTTGACACCTTTCTTTGGTTACTATGTGTAAAATTATTGTCATAGTCTTGCATTTGTGCTTGATGATGGTGGCTTGTATGGCATAAAATAAATGTCTGAGAGATCAGGCAATATTTTGAAGATTGTATTCATCAGACTATTATCTGGCTATTACTGCTAGACACAAAAACCTGTACATATAACACTGAATAACAGAAAATAAGTGTCCTATATAGTACATACATACAAAGAACAACAGTGACCTGTGGGTTGTATTTATCTGGAAAAAAGCAACCAATCAGACATAAAGCATTATGCATAGAGTGAAGAAAAAAAGTATAGGCCAAATATTTAAAACACATTCAGCAAAATAATTAAATATGTAAACATTAACTTGCTGTGTAGAAAATGACAACTTATTGTTTTATTATTTTGAAAGTTTAATCAAATAGATCAATTTAACTTTGTTTTGTTTCCATCTCAAGTTAGAATGCCATTACAGCTTTAACCTTTGTACAAAGCCCATTTTATTGTCTGTTGTCTAGAAAAACCAAATAGTTCCTGGGAAACCTTGGCGCAAACATTATATTTAGAAAATCTATTCACAACACAGACAATAATAGACATGAAGGACAGTACATGCTGACAATATATAAACAATAGACAATGTAAGAATAAATCAGCTAGAGCAATATCCTGCAATATAAAATAAATTGCATGTCTTTTTTTTTTTTTGAACTCTTTTTATTAAACTTTGTATAAACATATCAATTTACACATAGCATAGCATTTTAATATATTAATACACAAATAATAAATAAATAAATAAAGATAAATAACCATACAAAAGAAATAAAAAATAAAATAAAAATAAGAAGGAACGTCTCAGGTTACTTGTGTAACCATGGTTCCCTGAGTAGGGAACGAGACACTGCGTCCTCTAGGGGGCGCTATGGGGAACGCCTCGTCGTGACCCGTGTCTGCGGCATACATTGAAAAAACACCAACTCGTTGGCCGGCGACAGCCATGACGTCACTACCGGTGCGACTAAAGTATAAATAGGCGCCGGGAGCACACATCATTCACTTCTTCGTCTGAAGCTTGCGTCCCAGCCCATGGAGCGAGGAATCCAACTCCTCAGAGAGGATTAACGCTCGAAAGAAACATCATACTCACAATAACCCTCAATGGTGAGGGTGGCGATGCTTCAAGAGGATATCCTGGTGATCGGGAAAACGAGGCGTTCCCCATAGCGCCCCCTAGAGGACGCAGTTCGAAGTTCCCATGAAAGGGAACCGTTAATAACTTTAAATACAGATAACTACAAAAAGCCCCTGACAACATTTTAAAGGTCAAGCAAATATGTTTCTATTAGTGCCCAGTTCTGTTGGAAAATGTCAGATTTCAACTGTAAATCTGCTGTCATTTTCTCAAATATATATATCTGATTCAGTCTCTGTGTCCATTCTGTCAGAGTAGGTTCGTGCATCTTCATCCAATTCACAGTGATTATCTTCCTAGCTGCCATTAATAATATATGTAATACAAATAGTTGGGATTTATTTAACTGATCTGGGGGGAAACCATCAAGCAGAAAAAATACGGGGTGCATTGGTATGTCACATCCTGAAATGTTACTTATTTCCCTTTTAACCCCCTGCCAATAAACTTGTATTTTAGGACATTCCCAAAATATATGAGCATAGTCCCCCACCTTTCCACAATCTCTCCAGCATTGTGATAATTGTAAGGAGCTATCAAATTTGGCCACCACCAATGGAACTCTGAAGAATCTAATTTTCAGCTTCCAGTCAAATTCCTTCCATATTTGACTGCTAATACCCTTATGACAGCTGGCACATATATTTGTCCACATCTCATCCTCTATTATAGTATTTAACTCTAATTTCCAATTTCTTTTGTTATGAAATGAGTCATCAGATTTGTCTTGCATTAGTTTTCTGTAAATATGGGCTATATGATTTTTAGTAGGTAAGCCATGTTCAATAATATTAATAAAATATTTTTCAACATTTGTTGGAGATCTTTTTATTATGCCCCATTGTTTATGATTTGTGATATAGTGTCGTAGTTGTAAATATCTAAAAAAAATCATTAGATCTCAATGCAAACCTATCAGATAATCGTGAAAAAGATCGTATGGTCTCCCCATCAAAAAGTTGATTTATTATCTTTAAACCATTCTCTTCCCATCTACTAAAGACACTATCCGATATAGAAGGAATAAAATCTGAGTTATCTTTAATGGGTATGGCACGTGATAAGGCTAATGCTCCTCTAAACTTTTTTTGTACCGTGCACCAAATTTTGACAGTATGCTATATCCATATATTTGTTGTCTTCACTCTCTTTGGTGCTTGTAAATCCATGAATGGCAGAACTTTCAAAGAAACTCCAGGAAGTGAATTCTGTTCAATACTGACCAATTCTGCCTCCTTATCAACACCAAGACAAGCAGTGATAGCCCTAAGCTGAGCAGCCCAATAATAGTATCTAAGATTAGGAAGATTCAAACCCCCCGTCTTTATTTAATTGCATGTCTTTTATTGTGTCAAAGTTTGTAAAGCTCCTTGGAAGAGACAGATTATTAAATGAGACTTGTGCAATAAATATGATGTGATGTGCAATTTATTGGCCCATATAATCCAGATAAGTCTGTATGCGGGTATGTCATGTATGTATGCATGAAAAAACAGATACTTCTGTGAAATGTAAACTGCCTGCATAGTGAAACTGTTGTTTTTGTGGTGTTTGAAAGGATCTTTACACTCCACCCTGAGGGTGGTTGAGTGCACATGCTGTGTGAGGGATGAGCGAGGTTCTTCCTGATGACAGTGGACTTCCTTTTTCTCCACTCAGTGTAGATGTCTTCAATGGCAGGGAGGTGGGCCCCAGTCATAGTTAAAACTGCCCACTGGGTCCATTTTACCATGTTCTGTGAGACCTTCCTGTCAGAGCTTCCATGCCAGACAGTAATGTTGTTTGTCAGAAGACTGTTTATGACACATCTGAAGAAGCTGACGAGGATAGGGGGTCTTCTGGCAAGTCTTTTTACATGGCCCTCTGGTATGCTTTATTCTGACTGGTCAATTGCAACATTCAGCTGTCAGATTTCTCAGTTGCTCAAATCAGCAATACTGTCTCTTGTATCACACTGAAGACTCACACTCTTTAGGCCTTAGTTAGGGTAGTGCCAATTTTTGACAGGGATCAAAATGAGGCTGTGAGAGATACAAGTACAATGAGTTCAATGGATTGTATTGTTGTTTAACAACATACTGATTCTTCAGCTGACTAAACATCCATCAGGGAAAAAAAGTGATCTAATACCTTTATACAGTGCATACCATTGTAAATAATTTTAGTCTATCCCTCACAGCCTCGTTTTCATCCCCCTTAAATTCAATATGGCATCTAAACTGATTAAGGACTCATATAAATAGAAAAGACGCCATCTTGCGTCTCAGTTATCCGTTGTGATAAAAACAAGCTCAGAGGACTTCACTTCAGAAGTAATATTACTGCATTTAAAAACTCAAGACCCAGGGGAGTGGTACAGGCAAAGGCTGGAAACCTGTGTTCTAAAAACTGAATCAAATCAAAATGTATTCTCCATATATTTATTTGGTCATTAGCCATTAAATAATATAAGTATATATTGCTGCAGTTCTATCTAGTTCCTCCACTGCTGAGTTGTGTAACCAACCCGGCAGTGATGGAGGGGGATAGCAGCACACTTTCTTGTCCGCTCTGTAGAACTACAGAACTCCTCTCTTCTACACTCCAACATTTTGAGCTAAGATAGGATAAGGAGTCTCTAGTGGATGTTCAATGTAGGTAGAGGTGTTTTTTAAGAGGAAGAGGAAACTTAAAGAAAATAGTTCACCCAGAAATGAACCTCTCACCATTGTACTTATCCTTGAATCTTTTAAACCATGTAAGACTTTCTTTGTTCCTTGGAACACAAGGTGAGAAATTTATTTGTCTTTACAATAAAAGTGAATGGTGACCAAAGCTATCAGTTTTGGTGACTTAATGATCTGCTGCCTTAATCTTTTGGCGAGTAATGGTATGAGGAAAAGATCCACCACCTCTCTTTGAAAATCATAAATTGGCTTTTTAGTTTTGGGGACATTGTGTTAATTGCTAACCTTAACTAAGGTCAAAAACCAAACAAAATAGGAAGTGATTAACTCTGCAGGCACTGAAATAATGACAACAGACTTAAAACATGTTAGGATTAGCATTTGCATTGCAATTAAAAATATCAGTTAAGACTAAAGCAAGGTCATCTATAATGTTAGGGCTGCAGAAGAAATCGAACTAGGGTCTGTTGCTTTGCTGCTGTTCTGACATAACAGCAGTTTCCTGTAATGTTCCTTTAGAGAGAATGATATATTGTAGGCCTGATTGTTTGTTGATAAAGCAGAATTTGCTGAGGAAAAAGACAAGCTGCACATTCAATTTCTGTCTTCAAAATTGCATAGCTGTTTTTATCTTTTCTTCTTTTTATTTATTTAAAGTGATTTTAAAAGTGGTGGGGGACAGTGATTAGGGCTTGTACAGTGTAGCTCATACATATTAATTAGGTTTTGCTTAAATAATTTAAAAAGATTTTGCACTTGATAAATAAGTCTAAATGATGTGTGATCTGTCTGCAGCAGATCATTTGCACATTTCTGATTCCAAAACTGAAATGCAAACCGTACCATTATGATGAGAAGTGTCCAAAAAACAGCTTTTAAAACATGCACATGTATTTGCTGTTTTCACCATAAAATGAATTTGTTAATATAATGGCATACAATTCTGAATTTATGTAGATGTATGTAATTTCAACATAAAATGCATTTGTTTGCATTTTACAACAACAAATGCAATTTTTAGCACATTTTCTTGTCCCATTTTGGTGCGGTATGCATGAATTTAGAATCACAAGGAATTTGTAGTTAATAGCTTTTAGGGGTGGAACAATACATGTATTCGCACCGAACCGTCACGGTACGGACATCTCGGTTCGGTGCATGAGGCCTTACAATGAATACAGGCAATTCACCCCCAATCCAGAAGGGGGCGCTCGCAGCAATGCAACGCTGTTTGATAACCGGCCGCCAGCAGAAGAACAGTGAATGCCACGAGATGCGCACTTGAAAACAAAGCCCACTAGACCGTGACCATGTGCTGATTCTGAATGCGTCTCACAGACTGACAAAGGAGTATACTGAAAGTTTAAAGGCTTGTGCACTTAACTGTTTGCGAAATGGAGCTTTGTCTTCGTGTATCCTACCTCTCATTCGGCACAAATCCAAATATTCCATAATATTTCCATATTTGCGATGTAACGTATCTGAATGCTAAACTATTATTTATTATGTAAATTATAGCCTTTGTACGTCAGTCTCGTTCCAACGGTGACACAGAGGCGGGTGCTCGCTGATGTTTGGTTTACAAATAATATTTAGTATTTTCACATCTAGGTGAAATAAATAAAAACAAACCGAGCATAGAAGATTTGTTTTTTTTCCCCCCTGTTGTACCAAAATCGTATCGAACCGTGACCCCTGAACCGAGGTATGCACCGAACCGTGACATCTGTGTACCGTTCCACCCCTATATATACTCATTATTTTATTATAAGTAGTATATTTTAATATATTTAATTTAATCTACTTTACCTAGTTAAAATGTCACCTGAAGTTCAAGTTTGATCTCAGGAGGTTATACAGGGTCTGCAAACAGTCTGTGTGTCAAGAGCTAAGCTTTGAATTAGCCTCTGCTTTAAGAAAGCGCACTTCCACTGAAAGCTGCAAAGGAATCTTTTTCAATAGCTCTATTTTACAGATGGCTAATCTATAGTGTATTGAGAGATGTACAAAGTAAGCAGTCAGATGTCAGTGATAATGCACTGGTTGAAGGCCATTGGCTTTGGCTTTTTTTCCACCCACAGTATTCGTGTGGGCCCACACAGTCGAGTGGGTATCCTTAGAGAAAAAGAGACGACGCTTGAGCTGAATGATGGGTGCATAATCCTCAAGATCATGGGCCCATAGTTGGGGGATCAAAGTGCTATTTATTTCTGCAGTGCAGTTGAATAACGCAACATGGCCCTTAAGTGAGTCAATTAGGGGATAAAAGTGAGTGAGCAGAGAATGATAACAGGAGATCAGAGCACTCATTACGTCAAGAGCCATCTAACCTTGGATATTAAAACCCACAAATGCTGAGAGGGGTGAATATGGTCTCAATGCTTTAACATTGCCTTTAATTATTATATTACACATTCAAGGTCATATCTTGAATGTATCCCGGGAGCATTGTATGTTAGTCATGATATAGATACTGAACTTGGGCGCTAAAGGTTTTGAATTGAAATGATTAAAAGGAACACATTAAATGCTGCATTAATGGAGCCGTGCTTGGAAAATCTGCACACAGAAGCATGATGCTAATGTGCACTCCTCCGAAATCTTATGAAATGCAAAGACTGAAAGATTAAAGAGGTTTTGATCACTAGGTTTATTTCTTGATGAAATGTGCAAATTCACCCTAGAGAAAATAATGAATGTCTCAAGGGGAGTTATCACAGATTTCTGACTTCCTGCAAACTTTTCTGAATTTACTGAGATTCATTGAAACACTTTATTGAACCGCCCTGCACCCTTCACTCGGAAGGCAAGCATTTCTCCCACTTCCCTAATTCTGATCAATCAAGAACTGCAGCGCTTGACAAGTTTAGTTCACAAATGTGCAAGTTTTGTTATGCTGCTCATAAAAACTTTGAAGCTGTCCTAGACTCACTTGTCACATTAAACATTAAAGTGCCCTCCAAAAATGTCCTAAGTCTTAAAGTGGAGTTTTCAACAATATTTAATAAATCTTTATCACTTCTTGCCGTAAATGCATTTTTATTGTATTTTAATTAATTTATTTTTTATATTAATTTTAATTTAATGACCTGACCAACAGACCAGGTTATGCTGGTTTTAGATTTCATTCTCAAAAAGACTTTGAAGCTGTCCTAGACTCAGCTGTCATATTAAAATATAAAATATACAGTGCCCTCTAAAAATGCCTTTTAAAGTTGAGATTTGAGAATTATCATCATACAGGTTATGGTATGATGTTTTTTTTAATTTTTTTATTCTGAATTAATATTTTTTATTTAATCAAATATGTTAGTCATATTTTGTGTTGTCGCTTATCAATACATTAAAAAAATGAAAAGGATTTATGCTGATATCACTCAAAACTAAATGTTTTTTTCAAATCTTCTGGAGATTCAGTGTCGGTGCATATTAATTCATACTTTTAACATACAAGCAACACTTGTCCTCTAGATGTAACAAATCCCACTGGAGGCGAGTTGTAGATGAACACAAGTGCAGCTTTATTCCATTTAACAAGAACAAAACAAACAAAACTGAACTATAACTTGACAAGACTTGAAACCATGACTCTCACCATCAGCAGTACAGGAAATATCATCAATACACGACACACTAACATGGCAACCAAGAGGTTTAAATACTTAGACAAGGGGAACACATGACAAAATCAACCATTAGGTGCATTCGACTTCATGCAGCACTGCGCAGACCGATCGGCGGCTGACTTGTATAGGCTTAGATCTCTGCCACAATTCTGCGCGCGAAAGATCATATTTTGAGCGTACAAAAATCAATTTTGCATTTAAAATAAGTTTTTGGATGTGTGCAGACCTTCTCTTTTGCGCGTGCAACGTTTCACTAGCTTGCTCCTTTGATGTCCGCCCTCAGTGCTCTCTAAATGCCAAAGGCTCGCTTGCTCAACACAACCCAGCGTTACAATATTTCATAATTCCAGGCAATCAGAGACGAGGCTGCTAAATTCTGATTGGCTGCCTTGACAACCATTCACAACATTTCCAAAATCTGCTTAATAATTATGCACACCTGAATATAAGACATTTTTCACTTCCAGCCTTCATGAATAATTATATATCAATTATAAATTATTAAATACAAGATTAATAGTACTTATTCATATTGATGTCGTTTGGAATTGGTAAAATGTGCTTGGAAAAAATATGATCAAAATATCAACTTGCATAATAATTATGCATGCACTGTATTTTT